CTATAGTGATTTTATATAACGTATTTTATTATTTGGATAATTATGTAGAAAGAAGTGCAAATCTCCATTCCAATAAAAAAAATTTAAAGGTAATCAGATCGAACTTGTAAAAAGACTATGAAGTCAAATAGAGGCCATGAATAGCCACCAAGTGGAGCAAGCGATCGCATGTACACAAATATTATATTCTGTCAATTCGATCAGATACTCCAAATCAAGATTGCGTTTTTTTATTTTTTATATAAGTGATTTATAATTAGAGTTCCTACATAAAAATATAAAAACATATTGACATATATGTTACATATGTATACAGTTTACAATTAATGAAATTCTAGTTTGATTTTTTCTTTAAAAAAAAAAAAACATAAGGAGGCCAGATTAATTCATTATTCTCATAATTATTTTTTTGAGTTCCTCTTTAATCTGTACTTCTACCGTTATACGAAGCGATTAGGGTTTACATATTTGGCTAATTAACCTTTAGAAATAAATTTGACTACGTCAGTCCTATTCAGATGCATGGAGTTCCAGAAAACAGGTGTGAATGACTGACTTCTGCCAATTTCATGTTTCCATTAGCAACTTGACTTTCCTAATATTATTAATCAGTATTAACTAATGAAATATTCGACATTATTATTATTATTATTATTATTATTATTAACTACTAATATTTTTTTTAATAAGTCTCTCAAAAAGATATTATTTTAACAACAACACTTGTCAAATGGAAAGTAAGAGAAGAGCCAGGTTTTGGCCTCACGAAAAATAGAAGGAAGGAACTTGACTTTATTTCTAATATTATTAATTATTAATCAACTAATGGAATATTTGACATTATTATTATTATTTATTAGTATTTTTTTTTAATAATAATACTTGTTAAATGGAAGGTAAGCGAAGAGCCACGTACGTCTTGGCCTCTAGATTCAAAGTTTAAAAATGTCAGAAGTTAAGCGAACACAGTATTGGTTTATTAATAGTTTTTATATTTGCTTAAACCAAATTATATGAATTACTAGAACTTTCTTATGCTTTATCTTACGTGGAACCACAAAAACCTCCGATGTTTAATGATTAAATAAATATGGTACAGGTAGGATGGCCTCGTGTCACTGTGTGGGTCACTTGCTAATACAGCTAGCTTAACTTAAATGTAAAAGGTCAAGTAATTAAAAATCACGTGCTATTCCAAATAACTGAAAAAAGAATAATTTTAGCCTGCATCTCCAATATTAATATAAATTATTCTAATTTAATCGTGACATAAAAAAATAAAAAGATTTTTTCAAAATAGTTTAAAATGCTATGTTTATTTGTTATCTCAAAATGAGGTGTCAAAAAAATAAATAAATATTATATATACATATCACAGATAAAGGTTTTTTTTTAACAATATGGATATTTATTTTTCTACAGTAATTGACAGTATATTAAATTGTGGACAAAAAAGAAAAGATGCAAAAGAATTTGAAAATAATATATTAGAGAGAGATTTTTAAAATTCAATATCTATATAAATATTCATCACATTACAATTCTCGTCTTCTATTCTATATAACACATTAGACACAAATAGTTGTTGACTTTATCTACATATATATATTTTCCGAGATTTTTTTTTCTAAAACTCGTCAAATTAATAAAATCTCGTCCGATGGAAAGAATTAAATCGAACACTTGTTATTCTCTAGATGTGAAAGGAATAGCCAAAATAATTTTATAATATTTATACATATCAAACGAAGGTGAGAATGATGTTATTCAGTTCAGAATTTATCCATCTTCGCATTTAGCGTGGAGTGTCCAATCTGAGTCCTTTCGATTATAATTATTTTCATATTTTGGTGAGTTTAAAGAATATTTATCCCTACTATGCCTCTCATTACATCAAACAGTTCAAAGAATACCTTCGCTAGGCAAGTCGGCTGTAATTGTTGTGGGGGGTGTATTAAGAAACAGTATCGGTCCGGTTGTTTGTATTTTCATCGGTCAGTTGGGGTACTAGGCTCTAATGAGGCTGAACTCATTGCTATCTTCACAATAGTTAAGTTGTTTTGGACTTCGGATTTTAAAAAATTTCCGTTGATTGTGGAATCTAACACTAGAAATACTTTATGTTGGATTTTTCAGAAAAATAAGAGGCAATAGAAGTAGTAGGAAAACTTCAATAAGTTCAAACAAATTATTTCGCAGATTAATGAAATATAATTTGTTCATGTTCAAAGAAGTGGATATCATTTTGCAGATACATTGGCGAAGAAAGATATTGGTGTTGAATTTTTATTTTTTGGCTTGGTTTTAATTGACATAATATTTAGTTTTATGCTGCGATGTTTGGGTTTATGTTGATTTTTCTCTTTTTTTTTTTTTTTTACTTTTTTTTTTTAATTGAATAATTATTTAGTTTTATTGCTGCGGATGTTTGGGTTTATGGTTTTGATTTTTTTCTTCTTTTTTTTTTTTTTTTACTTTTTTTTTTTAAATTTCAATCTCTTATCTTAAAAGATATTCTTTAATTTTCTCTATGAATATATTTTTCTTATCCAGTCGAGCATTAATTTTTTTAAATATATTGAAAAAGTTTGTTTTTTTTTTTTTTTTTACTTTTTTTTTTTAAATTTCATCTCTTATCTTAAAAGATATTCTTTAATTTTCTCTATGAATATATTTTTCTTATCAGTTCCGAGCATTAAATTTTTTAAATATATTGAAAAAGTTTGTTGACTTGTTAGCTTGGATTTAATTTTGATGGATTTGGTACTTATTTTTACTTTTTATTATTAATCTAATAAAACAGTTGAGGAAAGTAGTTAATTTTATCTTTACCCTAATCGCTAGCAATATTTTATGCCTGGGGCCTGGGGGAATGTGAAATGGAGAAGGAACATGTCACGTGTGTGTGACGGTGGAAGTAGTTGACAGACGTTTGAATTCTAGAAGGGGTAGAATTAGAAATTGTCAATAAAGAAAACAAAACCCACTTGAGCCAACGGGTTTTTCTCCATCAGACATCACCTAGAAATTTGGAACCCATCTATTATTGTATTTATGAAATAAAAAGGAATAAATTTATAATTATAATTTAATAGGAAGGACTAAATTATAAAGTAAGAAAACGAAAGCTGATTTGGATCTTAATAAAAACCAGGGGTTGTAATTGTAGCTAAAAACCCATCTGAGCCAATGGGTTTTCCTCCTCACCTTCGACTTTGGAAACTAATTCCTAAATCCCCTAGAATTTTATATTCAATTTTTTTTTTACTTATTAATAATAATTAATTAAATGGAAGAAGCATAAAATAATACCCACAATATATACATCCTCACCCCTTACCAACTTCTATTTTTTCTTAATTATATTGAAATTCCTAATAATAATATTAAATTTTTTATAATTTTTTTTAAGTAACAGCACAATATTATCAGAATTTATTCTGTTATATTTGAACATTTAGAATTGAAATCTTGAATTAAATTCTTTTTTTTTTTAATATGAAACACAAAAAATTAAATTTATAAATAAATTCATAAAGTTTATGAAATTCATTTATTTCAAACATGAAGATAAGGATGATAAAAGTAAACATTAGAATTTTGCATACAATAATGTAAAATCTTCATTTCCAATATTTCAAAAAGAAAAAAAGATTTATACTATTATATAATTTGATTGCAACTTAAAAAATAACTATGAATTAGTAGAATAACTTTGCAGGCATCAAAATATTTCCAGAGTTTCTAGAAAAAGGAATGGGTTTGAATATATTCCCTATTTTTCCTGTCCAAAGGCACGAGCTCTGCTGCCAATGCCAAAACATCTTATGTCCTCAGCATCTGAAAAATTCTACTCTCGTGACCCCAATAAATGTCCAACACATATTCGTCCCTTTCAAATAAATTTTCATTGGTACCAACTCATTCAGTTTCTTTTTCTTTTTTTTTTTTTTAGTTTTAAATCTTTAATATTAAAAATTAAATTCAGTGTGTATATATATTATGTGTTGTTCCATAAAATTAGCTTTTTTGATGGTTGTTTATTATTTTAATAGTGTTTAACTAAATATTACAGGATTAACCTTTTATAAAATCACTATTTAACCTCTAAATGTCATGTGTTAATATGTTAAAAAATACTTAAAAAGCTGATGCCGAAAGCAGTTTCCACTGACTCATTCATTTTTTACCATATACTTACTAATTCTTGTTTTGCTTTTTCCTCCTTTACAATATAATTTAAGTTGACAACTGATAATATAACATTATATCCTGCTTAGAACTAGAGAATTTGTAATTAAGATAAAATTTTCATATATGATTTACCATTAAAATCCTCATTTCATTTTTAAAATCTAACTTATCTTTAATATTTTTAAGGAAAACTTTTTCTTTAAAAAATATTTTTTAAATAATTTATTTTTCGTTATTTGATTATATTATTTAAAATTAATTAAAACATTAAAATTTTTTTAACTTATAAAAAATAAAAATAAAAATATTTAAATTTATGAAAATTTCATATTATTTAAAAAAATTATTGTTAAGTATAAAAAAATACATAAAAAAATGATACGTTAGAATAGTCGCGAGCAAATGATAGTGGTGACAGATGAATTGTAATATTGACGGTCATTGATTAATGAATTAAAAAATAGGTAGTTATAGTGTTATAACAAATTTATCAATATAAAAAATATTTTTTATTTGGAAAATAAAAAGTCATTTCTTCAAAATTACTTAGATTTGATTTGAAAAATATTGTCCCTTAATTGATTTTTATGAGTATGCCAAATATCAAAAAATTTTGAAATTATTTTCATACAAATTATTTTTTTCTGAAAACAAAAGGAGTTTGAGTTTTGATGGATATGTTAAGATCAAATACACTTACAGATTGAATTGAACTTTCAAATTAGAGTTCTTGTTTTTTTTCTTTGTCCATGGGCAAGGGAAAAAAATTTGAAAAATTATCAAGTATTGCCAAGTAAATGTTCCAATGATCAAATACCATGTTCTCAAGGCTAATTCTTTTCATAAACTCAAAGAGAAGTCTCCTTCAAATTTTCTGATTACATTCTTTTGAGTGGTAATTTTCTTTCCATCTAATCGCCATTACAACTCAAAAAAGGAGAGAAAACAAAAATTATATGCATTCACTAGTCTCTAATTAAGGATTAACAACTCGCTAATTGCAGTAACTTCTTTGGCTACGCATTCTAGCTCCCCAACTCATACTCCCTGAATCTTTATAATTACTTCTTTTTAATAACTCCGTAAGCTGAGACTGCCATTTTTGTTCCCAGTCACTTCTATCGTCAAATCCGTCTTGGCTTCTGTGTCTCTTCCCAGTAGAGAAAATCGAGTTTAAGTCTAGTCCTCCACTGGCCATACCTCTGTCATACAAAGATCTAGCTTTTGGATCAGACAGAGTCTCATATGCTTCTTGAATTTTGATAAACCTCTTTGTATATTCTTCTTTGCGTTCCGGTGGCGAAACGTCGGGGTGGTATTTTCTTGCAAGTTGTTTATAAGCTTTCTTTATTTCTGAAATACTTACATTTTCTGATATACCCAACAAATAGTAAAAGCTTTCTGGTTTTACATACACTGTATCAGCCATGGCGGCCTTAATTGGACGTGCTCTGTTCGGTTTGTAATTAGTATTTTTGAAGGCAAAGTTTGATTTTGGCAAATGGGTATTGAAGGGGAGATTAGAAGATGGATTAAGAGTGGATTTTGAAGTTGAGAGATTGGGTTTGGAGATGGTTTGAAAGGAAGAAGAGATCATTCCTGCAGTAGTCATGTTTTTCCCTGTTTTTTCTTTTTGGCTGTTGTTTTGCTCTGCAACTTGTTTTTGAGCTGTTTATGGGAAAGGAAGGCGGGGAAGAGGCGATATATATAGAGGGAGTTGGGCAGGTGAGACCGTGAGAGAGTATATAATAAAGGCAAGTCTATTTTATTTTACTATAATTAAAAAGCAATTTCTAGATTCTAGAATAATAAAAATAAATAATAAGAAAGGTACATCTGAAACTAGGAACATTTTCAACTTTTCTTTTTCCTTTCCCCCCTCAAAAAAAAAAAAAAAAAAAAAAAAATTTTCAACTTTTTCTTTTTCTTTCCCCTCAAAAAAAAAAAAAAAAAAAAAATTCCTTTTTCTTGCGGTTTTCATTTTGTAAGCCTTCTACACATGTTTCTCATTTCTTGATTCGTACATATTTCACATGCATCAATTTTTTTTAAGGGAAAATTAAAGTTGTATATTGCTCCTCGTAAAAAAAAAAAAAAAAAAAAAAAAAATTCCTTTTTCTTCGTTTTCATTTGTAAGCCTTCTACACATGTCTTCTCATTTCCTTGATTCGTACATATTCCATGCATCATTTTTTTTAAGGGAAAATTAAGTTGTATATTGCTCTCGTCCATCTACTCGTATAAAATTATTGCATAATAATTAAAAAGTTATTGATTTTCCTAAATTATAATAAATATTCATTAATTTTATTAAATTATACGTTACAAAATTATAAAGTCAGCTAGCGTGTTTAATATAAACAAGGTGAAACTGAAAAAATAGCATTAATTACTTCTAAATATTCTTAAAACAACTTATATTTTTTTTAAAAAAAATCTTAAAATGAATTATATTTATGGAAAGAGAAAGTACATAAATCAACAAATTCATAAATTTTCTTTGAGAATGAGAAATTTCATAAATTTTAATTTTGATAGAATTGGCAAATTTCACAGATTACTCCTTGAAACAAATTTAATACTGGTTCCATCAACTTCTTAAAGAAAAAAAAAGTTCACTCAATTAAAGCAATATTTTGTAGAGCATAAAAGTTTTTTATCTTTCCAATAAAATGCGTTTTCTGATGATCAAATTTATATTCTCAATCTTATGGGTGTTGAAGACCTTACCAAGATCACTTACCAACATTTTCTCGGTGTCTCACCCTCAATTTTGTGTCTAGTTTTTAAGTTACTCTCTTGTTTAAAAAAATTAAGATTTTTGTGGTTAGGGAGAAAAATTAAGAAAAACAAATAAATAAATAAATTCGGTATAGATATTTCCCCGTTGATATACAGTATAGAAATTTCAACCACGAGCATACTAATATAGCCTGACTCTTGTACATTAAAAATTCGGTATGGCTAGGTTCATTTGCTTCTTCTTGTGGATTATGACTACACACTCCTAATTTTCCTTTTGTGGTATTCTTTCTTGCTTAGCATAGGAGGTTGTGGGTGTAGCTTATTCTAAATGGTGTAATTCTTAGCCTGTTTTCATTTTTATATATATAAAAAATTTTTTTAGTATGGTGCATTGTCTTCTTTACTTTGGGAAATGTATAATAAAATTTTATTTTCAATAATTTAGAAGGAATTATCAAAAGAAATTATTCCTATTATAACAACTTGTCACTTCCAAAACAAAAAAAAATGATTCTTTCCACAATTATTATATATCAGTTTTTATTAATTCGGTAAGACGTAGACGATGCAACTTTGGATCTATTAAATATCAGTTTCCACAAGTTGCAATAAATATAATTATTGATGAGAATTATAGCAACTTGGTTAAGGAAATTGCATTTTCATAGTTAAGTACAATGAATTTTTAAATTTATTTTATCATTTATATTAAAATTTATATTATTAATATTATTATAATTTATAGTTTGGAAGCAATTTACTTGTGAAAAAATTAATTTATATGTCAAATATATTCAAAGGGAAATAATTTCATTGGAAGTACACTACTTATCGGGAAATAGATCATTTTGAACCAAACAAAACTTAGATGAACATGTTAAATTATGGATTAATCTAATGACATATTATACCATGTACACCTATTTTGTAATTACAGTGATATTATTATATGATCAGTGATTTTATTATATTAAAATATCACACGTATTCTATATTGGACTATGAGTTTGGGAGCCTAATTATATTTATAGATTTAATAATATCGAATTACCTTCCAAACTTTCAAACGAGCATAATGGTAGGAAAACCTAATTAACGTATAAACTACGAGCATAATGGTAGGAAAACCTAATTTAACGGATAAACTCCTATATGTATGTATAGTTTTTTTTTTTTTTTTTTCTTTGATCAATTTTTATATTAACATCCCCCTTACCTATAAATTCTAGGTTCATGTATATCTCTCATTATGTTAAACAGATGAAAGCAGTGTACAAATCAACACTAAATTCCCATTGATAATATAGAAAAGGCCCACATCCAAATAATAGTCATTGATTGAATAGGGTGAAAGAGATTGAGGTAAAAGTTTAAACACTTCACAATCAAGTAATTGAATTTGGTACACTTGATCTGTGTAAGCTCACATGGACAAAGAGCAATTTGATTTGAACTGCCACTCAAAACTAAATTGTACCAAATTCTTAAAATTCTCAGCTGTCCTGTCATATACCCTCTCATGTGACATCTGGTTTTGGCCTTTCCTTTTCTAATTCCCAAAGAAAGAAAACAACATGCTCTTTTCTATCTAACTTGAGTAGTGACTTTTCTATCCACCTTAGAATTGATGTTGTCTCTTGCAATAAGGACAAGCCTTGTAGTACTGACTTGACTAATCCTTTCAACCCTATTCAATTGGTTTATGAACCCTTTTGATTTTTTGATTAACTTTCACATCATCTTTGCTTAAATGGCAAATTAAAAAGCGAGAATGAAAGATTGATTTTCTTTCTTCTTGTGGTGGTAGATCCAAATATTTATTTTGCTTCTTGTTTTTCTTTTATTTTGCATCTATTAACCAAACAACGCCAACTCATTTTCCTTCATTATTTTTCCTACCTTACTTTACGTTCTTTAAATGAAACATGCATCAAAGAAGATTTCATTTTGATTTAAGCTTTAGAAAACTACGTATAATGTGTTAGTTTTATTACTAAGTAGTAAAAATTATTTAAGAGTATTCTCAGATAATTTATATACATCAATTTTAATTTTTTGGTCCAACAATCTTAATAAAAATGTAGTCTTTTATATCGAGTTATGCAATTATGAATATTATTATTGAAATCATCTCTCGACGCTTAAAAAGCTAAAACTATAAAAAAAGTTTTTATATAAGGACTGCCTTAGATTTAAATTAATAATTAATTTATTTCATGCGAACAGATGATTTAATATTGATCATGCATCTCGCTAGGCTCACAAATCAAATTTAATTGATATTTCAACACCAATTTGATAAAATATAGATGGAGGTTAGATTTGATACGAAAAAATGAATTCATGGTATTGATGAATAAAATTAAAATAATTTATTAGAATTAATAAAAAAACTTAAAGCTCAATTTTTTTTTGTTACCCTTTGGCCAATAATTAAATTATTCTTGTTCTCATTCAGTTTATAATCCAAAATGAAAATGTTATTATAACATCTTATTCAAATTAAAATCTGTTCGACAAAATTACCTGTTTTAGTAACATGAAAAGTTAAAAGCTAAACGTTATATGAGTTAACTTTTTATAAAATACTATCTTAATCTCTAAATGTTATATTATTGAACACTATAAAAAATAATATCTAGCGTTTTGACCAGTCAAAATGTTAAAAACTACTCAAAAAAAAACCGTTGCATAACACTACTAAATTGTAAAATAATTTATAATGGCAGCATGTCTAGAATGTGGGAGAGATAGAGAATAAAAGAAAAAGTAGTAAAATAATAAACCTTTTTAATTTTCTTGGTCTCTAGAAAGAAACCCCAATTTTCAATGGCTCTACAAGCTTCTTCTTCCCCACGAGAAGTGGACGTGCATTCTCTAGAAATTGAGTTGTGCATCATATAATATTTTTACCTTTTAAACCCTCTCTGGGTCTTGTTGTCACGAGTCAATGACATGAGTTTGAACTTTCAGAGTTATCCGAGTCCTTTTCTTTCCACCTCAGACCACAGTATAACGCGGTTGGCCCGCTTCTAGAAACGCTTTTGCTGAAAATGACATGTACTGTAGGCCCTGTGGGCGGCCGGGTCAACCAACGGCTCGTTTGATTTAAATAGAACGAACCAAGGATGAAAAAGGGCAACCGAGTTTCTCGGAATGTAAAATCGAACTGGAATTGATGTCAGAATTGAACCAAATCAGCTAGTTATGTCGGTTTTGCTATATTGGTTTGGTTTTTAAGCCTAACTGATTATTTTTTTAAAATCGAGTTGAACCAATGAAGTGAACTTCCTTGTGAATAGCCTGATTGAACCAAACCGGAGGCGTACAGGCATACGTTTTCTGGGCCCGGCTAGGGAACTCTTGTACCTACTACTAGTTTTTTTTTTTTTTTTTTCAACAATCTGAACTTCGGATTTGGACCTGATTAGGTTAGCCCAACAATATATAATGTGTGTACTAAGCTTTCAAAGCCCTGTTTGGATCTACGGTTGTGATTTCTATTACTTAAAAAATATTAGAAACTTTTATAAAATATTAAAATTTAGATAAATTATTTTGTGATGCAGGAATTTTATAAAATACTATAAGATACTGTGAAAATATTACAAAATATTGATAAGAAGAGCTATAATTTTGTGACTCACCACATATTTACAAGAAACAACTGTAATTTATAAAATATTAGGAAATATTATAAATTAATTCCAACTGGGGATATTATTTTTTAATCTGCTAATTTTACCAAAAAAAACAGCACCATTTTACAAAATTCTTAAAAATACCACAAAATATTGGCAATCGGAGTTATTATTTTGTATACCATCAATATTACAAAAAAGAACTAATCATCTTTTATAAGAGATTAAGAAGTATTACAAGATACTGGCAATTGAAACTATTATTTTATAATTCGGTGAGTTTGTAAAAACTATTTTTTGTATAAAATATTTAAAAATATTAGTAATTTGACTTATTAATTTGTAATTTGATATCCTCAGAAAAAAATTATTTTTTACAAATTATTATTTTTTTTTTTTTTTTTTTTTTGCAATTTGGAAATTAGGTAGTTTGTGCAATTTTCTTTCCTTTTTATTTATATAATAATAGAAGTAAGACTAACCTAGGCCTATACATAAAAGATAAAACTAGCCTTTGACTTTAATGAAAAATAAGACAAAAGCAGATGATCCATCCTTCTCTACTTTACATCTGGCATCTAAGAAAATGACTCAACTGTAATTGAATCCACCGTGGATTCCACAGATCCGATGAACTTTGCTTATTTTACTCTTCCAAACTGCGGTGTGACAACCGCCGTTCGCCGCCAGTGTCTTGTTACAATTTCCCACTTCTTTGCCTACGCATCCTAGCTCCCCAAGACATGTTCATCTCTGTTAAATCTTCGTCTTCACTACCCCTTTCCCTCTCTAACTCTGTTAGCTGAGACGTCCATTGCTCCCTCCACTCACTTCTTTCTTCTCTTTCCTGCTTAACACGATCATAATCCCATATCAGTAATGGACTTAAATTCTTATAATTTCATCTTTTTGTTTAAATTTAGAGATGGATCTGAAAAGGAACATATATAAATATATTACCTTGGCATAGCGGGATTGCTTTCCAGCAAAGAGAGCCATATGCAAGCCTCTGCTCATATCTCTGTCATAAATAGCTCTTCTTTTAGGGTCAGACAAAGTCTCATAAGCTTCCTGCACTTCAATAAACATCTTCGTATACTCCTCTGTATGATCTGGCGGTGAGACGTCAGGATGGTACTTTCTTGCAAGTTGCTTATAAGCTTTTTTGATTTCTGAAATTGTTCCACTCTCTGATATCCCTAACAATTCGTAAAAGCTTTGTGTGTTTACATAGACGGCGGTATCGGCAGCCATAGTGGCTGTGGCCTTAATCGGAGCGGTTCTGATTGATTTAGAATTAGTTTTGATGGAAAATATTGGTTTTGAGATATGGGTAGTGAAGGGCATTGAGCAGTACTTGAAGCTGCTCTGGTTTGATAAAACAATTCCTTGACTCATTTTTTAGGTTCCTTGTGAGCGCAAGTGTAAATTACCTACTAATGATGTTGTATTGTATATAAAACGTTGGAGAAAGTAATTTTGGCATTTATGAATACTTTCATTGACTTTTTTATTTTTCGTGAATAGTTGGAAAAAGCTATTGTTACTGGCCACGCAAATGATAATTAATTTTTAAATTTTATTAGAGTGTATTTATAAATAAAAAAAATTTTATGTTTCATTGATTTAGTTCATTGGCCGTTCATAAATCAATTTTAGGTAAATTTAATTAGAAAAACTTAAATCCATACATAAGAGATTAAGAAGTTTAATTAGAAATTAATTTTTAATACCCACTTATATCAGATTAATTTTGATGTGCATAAAAAGTAAAATAGTTAATATAGATCAACTTCTTGCTGTAATTTTCTGTATGTTAATTAATTTAATTAGCTATAAATTGTTTTCATGAAGATCATTCCATTCAGGGATCTCTCTCTCCTCCGTACAAGAGATATTTGACAAATCATAAATAATTGGCGTCGGTGCTATGTAGGCTGTCAATGGGCTTTCTATGGGGCCGACCTGTCAAATTTATGTTGTTTTCCTTTAAAAGTCGCAGGTAGTTGGGCTCATAGTAGGCCCACCTTTTAATTCTTCCTTTCCTTTTCACATTTTGCTTGGTTCGACGTGTAACGAAACTTTAGAATCTGATCCACTCAATGATCTAATTCAATTCAATTCAGGCCAGTGGATTTGAAAAATATATTGAATTAGATTGGATTAATTGTTTTTAAAATTCACAAATTGAAGTGAATCATAGTTTCATTAGGTAAATTCGTTAACCAAACTCATCCTATAAATACTAATAAATATATATTATATATATTTATAGATCAATACTATAAAATAACACTAATAATAACAGAAAAAAAATTGAGAGAATATATATACACATATTATGAAATTTATTTATATCATTAAAAGTTAATTCTATTAAAAATTCTCCAACGTTATATTAATTAATTATATTAAGACGGTTTAATTCAATCATAAATTAATTTATTTTTAAATAAATATAAAAATAAACAAATAAGTCATATACACATAATTAATTTGGAATCCTATATTTATATATATTCTCGATTTGATTTGGTTGAATATTGAAATTGTGGCGTTGATTGATTTCAATTTAAATCATTTTAATGATGAGGATGATAGATTTCACAGTTATGCAAGTGACAAAGTTGAGTTGCGTCTTATTCCTCAAAAGTCAATATCTACCTTCCCCATCTACATTTTGTTTCTCTGTTTTTTCTTTTATGTCTCTTTCTGAGATAAATGAAGACATTGACACAAAAAATCATGCCAACCACTAATGGATAGTTAATGCAGGCATCAACTTCTCAAGAGGGGGACCAAGATGATGGAGCTTGCGGTTGTGAAATCGAAGAAAATCCTTTTTAGGATTTACTGTGTTGTCTTTGACAAGGAGTGATTAATAAACATGGAGCTTCTACTACAACTTTTTCATCCAAGCAAGGATTTCATTTTTCTATTTCATGCATGTTTCTGACAAAATTAACATTACATTAGTAAACAAAATAAAAATAAATAAATAAGTATTATATTAATTAAAGAAATAATTTATATAAACAGAATAGGGATTAAATAAAATAAGATAATCAAATATTTTATTAGCTTCTATGGAGACAAAGATGGCTAAACGTATGGAGCATAATTTCTTAGTGTCTTTTGTTTTTTTTTTTTTTTAATAAAAAAAAAAAAAAAAAAGACATCAAAGTATAAAAAGCTACTTTAACAATGTTGATCGAGATGGAGCAATTGAGACTCATTCTTTCTTAATTAAAGATTTTGAATTCGAATTTTGAGTATAGAAATTGCGACTGAAAAATCACCACTATATGCACCATGCCAATACTCGAATTCGATACAATAGGAGTAAAACGAGCTTTTCAGATACCGGTCATTGTAGCTTTTTTTTTTTAAAAAAAATGTAAAGGATGTTAGACTAGTAGTGTGATGGGTGATGAAAACTGGTGTGGTACATGCAGGCACAAGAGAGCTCGTTGTAAGTATAATTGGAATTGAATTGAAATCAAACCTTACCGTACATGAATTGACATCGTCGGTCCAAAGTTTTAGACCGGAATCGATTCGATTAGAATCGAAAATTTATATGTTTATTTTTTAAAAACTTCTATTTTATACTCCTCTACAAATCTAGATAAATATTTACTAAAAAGTAAAAAATTTAAAAATGTAAGATGGTAAAAAAAAAAAAAAAGATAATCAGTTTAAAATTATATTGTTTGATACAAATGGAAGTTTAATGTTTTTTTCCTTTTAAATTTATTTACTTAGTTTAAAATTATATTGTTCAGAGCATTTTTCAAATCTTTTAATAATTTGTTTATTTAATAATATTTAAAAAAATAAAATAATAACTTATTTGATTATTTAGTATTTCTCTGTAAAATTAATTTTATTTTTTATATGAACATGAACATTCTAAAAGTTATTTAAAATAAAGTTTATCAATATTTTTCTAAATTCACATTTATTTTTTGAAAAAAAATGTAGTTTTAGAATTAAATTATTATTTTCAATTTTTTTGAAAAAAAATTTTATTTTCATTTTTATTTTTATTTTTTCAAAAATTAATACTCAGAAACCGTTGATTTATCAAAACCACGTCAATATCCGTCAGAATCGAAAATCGGAATAAAACCAACAGTTTAAAGCCGATTTGGATTCAACATTTAATTGAGCCATGCCTAGATTCTAGCACTCCTGTCGGCCCTTGGGATCTGTGGCGCGGAGAACACGCTATAGACCATACAAAAGTGCCAATGATCTCGGCTTCTAATCCAACGCCTGTGCTGGACCCATCAGCCAGTGTGTTCGCCTCATCACCGTTCCTCTAACAATTCACACCCTGTCGGCCCAAGTGGTTGGCCCACGAAAATTCATATTCTTTTCTCCGCTAGATTAAAGCATCCACCTCAAAATAAGATAAATTTTTAAATTTTTTTTATAGTACAATCACAACAGAAAGTTTAACAAAATTTAAATTTAACGTGTAATTATAACAGTAAAGTTATAATAATTTGGATTTAAGGTATAGTTATGAGAAAAAGTTAAAATTAAAGTGTTTATACGTTAAAATTCTTTTTAGAGTGTAGTTCTTATAATTTGTAAACTTTAGGGTATTTTATAGCATGATTTAATCAACTCATTCTTTGGGTTAAAACTTAAAATCAATGAGCTAAGAGTTTTAAATTTATATATTTTTATTTGTTAATTTTTATCAAATTTCAAATTAGGATACAAATATGTTAAAAAGTTATAATTGAAGTGTTGAAGAATTAAATTAAATTTAAGGTGTGATTATTACGAGACATAAAATTATGATTATGACTTTTTTTTTTGGTATGATTTAGCCACAAGAAGTGATGGAAACCAGTTCCTACAGTTCAACAAGTGTTTCAACATTTATAAAAAAAAAAAAATTCAACATTTCTAAAAAAAAAAAAAAGAAATATTAAACACAGACAACCTCTATTTTTTGTTTCAGATTTATATAATTTTAGATAGATAGATATAAAATATATAGATATATAGAATATGGATATGTATAAACTCGGTTTGAACTTATTTATTTTGCTCATATAATAAATGAATCGAGTTTGAACTTGAATTAAAGCCTATATATTTATATACACATATAGATTAATGGCTATGACTTACTTACACTTAATAATTTTTTATACATTAATTGATATGACATACTTACACTTAATATTTTTTTTTTATCCACGGATTATGGTTCAATTGGCAACGCAGGATAAACATGTAGGAAGTGAAAGAGCTCTCGAATTCAGTTCCCACTAAACACACCTGCAGGGAGCCCCGAGCCATAGTCCATGGTGATAGGATGCAGATACCGATGGTTTATACCAAAAAACAGTTTTTTATTTGAAAAAAAATAATATTGTTACTAGCTTATCATTTTTTTTTTCAATAAATGATCATAAATAACATCATTTGAGCACAAAAAGTTTTCGATTGGTTTGGTGTATTGGTGAAATCCACACACTAAGTGCAGGTGAGCCCGTACACTAATATACTTAGGGCTTGTTCGATAATACTAGTTATTTTGGTTGCTAGTAGCTGTTGTAGTAGCTAGGTGTTTATATAACAAAATTAAAAGTATTCAGAAAAAATAGTTGTTTAATTAGTTATTCAACTTAAAATGAGAAAAAAATCATATTAATTGTTTAATTAACTGAATTCGAAAAAAATAAACAATGACATAATTAGTAAAAAAAACTTAATTAATGTCTATGGAATGCTAACTGTTGGAACGTGTGTTTAATGTTTCATAAAAATCTCTCATGGCCTCTAAAAATTACTATAAATATTATGCTATCCAACAATATAATTAATGGATATATAGTTTTGATTTGGTGAAAATGGTCACAACCTTAGGCAAGATTACAGCAGCATTAACAATTCTCTATTCCAGAACATGGATTTCTCTTCTCCCATCCAGATTATTCTATATTCTCTTGCTTTACTGTTTCTCTATGCTTTATGGAGGAAAATAACCAAAAAAACCACCAAAACCAAGAAATTTAAAGTCCCTGAACCATCAGGGTCATGGCCATTAATTGGTCATCTTCATCTTCTAACCTGGACCAATAACAGGAATACGTGAAGCCATGGAAGATTGTGACATTAATGGCTATTATATCCCTAAAGGCACTCGTCTGATCGTTAACATATGGAAATTACAGAGAGATCCTCGAGTTTGGAATAATCCTGACGAGTTTTTACCGGAAAGATTTCTTACAACTCATTCTGATATTGATCTTAGAGGTCAGAATTTTGAATTTATTCCTTTTAGTTCAGGAAGAAGGGCTTGCCCGGCTATTAATTTTGGGTTGCAAGTCGTTCATGCGTTGCCGGTTATTAGGTTTTATTTTCAAGAATTGCAATGTGCCTGTGTTATGAAGGATGGACCGGGACTTCTTTGCCAAGGTTTCCTGTAGATTTAT